TAGCTGATCTCCACTTTCTCCTCGAAGAGGCACAGGCATCTGACTGAACGCTTCAAGCTTGGAAGCGCGAGCAAAGAGAATCTCGGGCTCTTCACCTTGAGGGCATGCCTGGAAGCGCGAGCAAAAAGAATCTCGGGCGCTTCACCTTGAGCGCATGGCAATGCCAGATGTGGCTGTTTCTCGACACACGTATCATTACCGGTGGTTAGTAGGGAATGGGGGAGTAGATTGTTGGGATGATTATTGGGATCATATAGGGGCTATTCTAGGATCTATTCACTTACGCTACGAACCACAGGGTATATTGAGGGCATATTAAGGGTATATTCGTGATACATTAGAGGTATATGTAGGGAGTAGATTAAGGGTATATCTAGGGGTTCGTGCCAGGATTTGGCAGAGCCCTGGACCTGGAGCATCTCGGCTGCTCGTGCCTTCGGATGTTTGTGGAATCCAGGAGATCAGTAGTAAGCATACAGATGCCGGAGAGTTTCACTACAGATCTAGAAGCTCCGTAAAAGTCAGCGCCCTTCTGGGGCATTTGCCCTGATGGTGGGTCCTCCACCAAGAATCGGAAGAAGGGGAAGGAACGTGCGCGTCAGTGAAGTGGCCGCGGCCACAACTGTAAAACGAGACAACAGAACCTACTTTCAACTCGACGGCTGAAATGCTGATGAGTGATTGTTCTGTTTGGCATACTGGATACAGACACTTTCAATAGGATTTGGGAGCATGTTATACAGTTATACTAACACTACGTAGAGATCACATGGTCTCCGGAAAGAAATCTTTGTTGTAGGTGTGGAGTTCAACAAGGGACCTTCCCTGTCAAAGCACCTTCGAGTTCAATCGAGAAGCAATGACATCAAGGAGGCTCACATTCCTATGTATAATATACCCTTGTGTACACCTCTATCCCCTTCTATCCCCCCTTGTATCCCCCCATTCTCTCCCCGTGTCCTCCTATATGCAACATCTCCCTATATCCCCGAAACGATCCAAGCTGTTCAGAGGTGGGCGATGAGCGCCCTACCGACGAGGAAAGGTTCAACCCGGAGCGAACAACAGCGCAAGAGGGCGAGGCGCACAGAAAAGCATCGAGGGGCTCCTAGGGTTTAGGGCTCGGGGTCCTTTGCACAGGCTATGTGGGGGTTGGGTTGGTTCAGGGTTTGGTAATACTACGCCCGCCAGTGTAGGTTTAAGGTGACAGGCAGAGGGTCATGGGGTTTGCAGGTTTAGGACTTGAGGTTGTCAGGCAGAGGGTTGCAGCCTCTTGGGGGGAGTAGAAGGCTTTGGGGGCTAAGATTTCGGGCTTAGGGTTAGGGGTGCTTATGAGTCCTGTCTACACCCCGCTCAGCACTCAGAAGCTATAAGTGCCAAAAAAAAGAGGAAGTACAGAGCTTCTTTGTGAGCAAATGAAGAGTAGTGGGGCTAGAACTAGTCTCATCCTTGCTGAGCCTGCCATTCTGGTTTGTCCGACTTTCTTCGCGTTGGGGCAACCCACATTTCTGCAGTAATGTTCATATCTCAGAGAAAGCGAGCTTGAGAAGGGTGTTGTGGTTTGGGGATGAATTGGGCTACTCATCCCCCCGAAGGTCAATGTGGGTACAGCTCCAAACAATCCTTCTAGAATCCCTTAAAGGAGACTGGGTAAATCATCTTCAGATGGGAGTTCTAAGGATACCTCAATTAAGGAACATACCTTAAATCATATTAGGGATCCTACTATAATTTAAGGTTTATTCCTTAAATTATAGTAGGATCCCGAATATGATTTAAGGATGTTGGAGATGCTCTCTGGACTTCTGTGGAAGCATGATGTCAGGCTTGAAAGTACTCCTTTGTCTGTCTTGGCAAGGCTGGAGATGCGTGGACCCGCTTCCGACCAGATTATCTCTATAAATTCAGTATAAGTATGAGCTCCATAGCCCCGGTCACTAACCTTGCTTCAAACGGCCTCCACGTAAGCGGGCTGTTTGGCAGAGGTTCCTGTCCTGAATCTCCCCGTTCGGGATCCTTGGACAGACATTCCTCATCATCTAGGTCTCTGCCTGGGCATTTCGCCCATCCATGGACCAGCCCACATGCAAGCGCAACATCCAAATCGATACCAACCTAGTTGATACCCTTAAGCCCTAAACCGGAAACCTTGAACACTACAGCGCTGAACCGCAAGCCCTACATCCAAAAACACTGAAGCCCCGAAGCCCCTAACCCTTAAGCACCTACAAAGCTTCAAGAGCCTGGTGCAGTAGCAGTTTGAACCCCTTACAGTACCCAGTATGGTATACCCTTGCTAACTACGATGAGGGCTTCACTCCGTACTCTCGTCACCCTCACGGCCCCTAAACCCTAAACCCTAAACCCTAAACCCCTAAACCCCTAAACCCCTAAACCCCTAAGCCCTAAAGCCCTAAACCCTAAACCCTACTGTAAACCCTAAAACCCTAAACCCGTAACAACCTAAACCCGT